TGCAATGTTGATTTCATAAATGAAGAATATTTTCCAATGTTTGTCAAATGTCTGAGAGAGTATGAACGCATTAATAACGAACTATGTGAACTGATAGGTGTTCGAAAGTAGACATTCTGAGTTCATACTTTTTTTTACAAAGTGTGAAAGAATGGATAAAAGATGCAAATTGCTCTCCTGAGGAAGATGTGTATCCACACGACAGTATTTCGAAGGCTAACTTGGTTACAAGCAGTACATCGCAAGGATCAAGAACAAGTTCAATGCGGCTGAAAATTAAAGCAGAACGTGAAGCGCTTTTAGCAAAAGCAGCAGCGATGAAAAAGAAAGAAGCAATTGAAGTAGAAGAAGCCCGTCTTAAGTTTCGAAAAGAGCAATTGAAACGGAGCTTGCTATTTCAGATACAAAATTAAAGGTGTATGAAGAGAATGAAGATGCTCAGAAGTCTGAGATTAATTCCTTACAAGCCATTTCAAGACTCAGAGTTGGATCTGTTCATTCTGCGAGCAAATCAGAAAGGCAAGAAATGTTCTCAGATGATGAACAGGCAAACGTTGATCCTCCAGTATCAAGGAAGTCTCATTTAAAAGGCTTTCCACGCATGCTCAATGTTCTGATTCTTTTTCAGATGATCTGTACCAGGTTCTGCAGCAACAAAATCACCATACTGAGATGCTCATAAAACAACATAGTATATCTCGACTTCCTCACAGGGAAATTCCAGTATTTACAGGTGACCCCCTTTCATACAGATCATTTATAAGAGCTTTTGAACATGCTATTGAGAACCAAACTGACAGTCAACAAGATCGGCTATATTATCTAGAACAGTTCACGGGCGGAGAACCACTAGATCTTGTACGCAGCTGTGAAGCCAGACAGAGCTTACAGAGAAGCAAGGGCTTTGCTTGATCAACACTATGGAGATGAGTTGACCATTGCCACAGCATATATCAAAAAGGCTATGGAATGGCCTCAGATAAAACCAGATGACAGAAAAGGACTGAATGCATTTGCCCTATTTCTGATTGGATGTTCTAACGCAGTCAATGATGTAGACTACATGAGCGAAATGAACAATCCAACCAACATGAAAAGCATCTTGTGCAAACTACCGTATAAACTGAAAGAAAAATGGAGAAGCCATGCTTACAGCATTCAAGAAAGGAAAGGAACACGAGCCAAATTTCCTGATCTTGTAGAGTTTATCTACCAACAAGCAAAGGTTGCTAATGATCCGCTGTTTGGAGATATTCTTGATGTCACACCGGCTAATCAGAACAGCTCGAAGAAAAAATCTGACCAAGTAAAAGGCATTTCAAAGAGAAGCAGTTTTGCTGTGAATATATCTTGCACTGAAAAGGATACCACCAAGAATCAACATGATACAACAGTTTCATGCAAGACAATCAGTGCTTTTCAAAGTCCATGTCTTTATTGCAAGAGCAACCATGCTTTGACTGCTTGTAACAAAATTAAAGAAAAACCTTCGAAAGACAGAATACAGTTTCTGAAGTCACATGGTCTTTGTTTTGGATGTCTAACGACAGGTCATCTATATAAAGCTTGTAGAAAAAAGGCCACATGTTCCGACTGTTCTCTTAAGCACCCAACTATTCTACATGTGGTGAAGCAGAATGTGTCAGAAGAAAACAATGTGGATGACAACCCACAAAACACAAGCGAAGTTACAAGTGCTCTTGTGTCCACTGGAGGTAAAAAAGGTGAAGTCACTGGGGCCAGGGAAAATGAATGCATACTCCCGATTGTGCCTGTGCAAATAAGACACAAGAAAAACAGAAACATCATCAAGACATATGCATTCCTGGATCAAGGTAGCACAGCAACTTTTTGCACCGAGGATCTGGCAAGAAAGTTGAATGTACGAGGAAAAAAGAAAGAAATCCTTCTTCGAACCATGACAAAGGAACAGAAAGTCTGTAGTTATGTCCTTACAGATTTAGAGGTTTGTGGACTTGACGAAAAAGACTTCATCATGCTGCCAGAAGTGTACACTCAACCAGACATTCCTGCTATAAAGGGTAATATACCAAAAGAGCAAGATTTGGAGAAATGGTCTTACCTGAAACAAGTTCATCTTCCAAGATTGGAGTCAACAGCCAGAATGACGGACCATATGCCGTAAAAACAGTCCTAGGTTGGGTGGTAAATGGACCAGTCGGCAGATGTCAAGATAGTGAATTACTGTTCCTGAAAAACAAGATTTTCTTGTCAATCGTATATCTATATTGAACCTTGAAGACATGCTGGAGAAGCAATATAATGCAGATTTCCCAGAGCGACAGTATGAGGACAAACAAGAACTCTCTCAGCAGGATAAGCAGTTCATGCATGCTGTAACTACATCAGCACAGTTCATCGATAGTCATTATTACATCAAGTTGCCTCTAAAAAACGACAATGTGATAATGCCACAAAATCGTGGTATTGCTGAACAAAGGCTTAACTCTGAAGAGGAAGCTGAGTAGAAATCCAGACTTTTGTCAGGACTACAAAGCTTTCATGGACAACATATTGAAAAAAGGTTATGCTGTAAAAGTCCCTGAAGAACAGCTGAGTCGCAATGATGGTCGAGTATGGTTCATTCCGCACCATGGAGTGTACCACCCAAAAAAGAAAAAACTGCGAGTCTTGTTTGACTGTACTGCATCTTACCAGGGAGTTTCATTGAACAATCAATTACTGCAAGGACCTGATCTCATGAACACTCTTATTGGAGTTTTGCTCAGATTTAGACAGGAGCCTGTTGCCATGATGGCGGATATTGAATCTATGTTCTATCAAGTCAGAGTCCCAGACGAAGATGCAGACTTTTTGCGTTTTCTTTGGTGGCCAGATGGTGACGACACTAAAGAAGCAGCAGAATACAGAATGTGCATCCACCTGTTTGGAGCCACGTCATCACCCAGTTGCGCTTCATATGTACTGAGAAGAACTGCTGAAGATGGAGCCACAAATACATCAGCAGAAGCGACTCAGACAGTTCTGAAAAACTTCTACATGGATGACTGTCTAAAGTCAGTGCTAATAGAGGAAGAAGCAGTTAAACTAGCAAAAGAACTGATGACATTGTGTGAAAGTGGTGGGTTCCATTTGACAAAGTGGATGAGCAATAATAAAGCTCTGTTGTACTCCATTCCTGACAGTGAAAGAGCACCTGTTGTTAAAGACTTGGATTTGCAACACAATGATCTTCCTGTGGAACGAGCTTTGGGCGTGCAATGGTGCACAAGTTCCGACAACTTCAAGTTCAAAGTTCAGCTGCCAAACAAGCCATGCACAAGAAGAGGCATTTTATCTGTTGCCAGCTCTGTGTATGATCCTTTAGGTTTTTTGGCACCACTTCTTCTACCTGTTAAGCTTATCCTGAGAGAACTTTGCAAAGAGAAACGAGGATGGGATGAAGAAATTTCAGAACAGTCACGTCGGACATGGCTAAAGTGGTTGTCAGATCTCAATAAGCTTTCTGAACTCGGTGTGAGCAGATGTGTTAAACCTGCTTCATTCGGACCCACAGAGTCTGCACAAATTCATCTCTTTTCCAATGCTAGTCAGGATGGATATGGAGTTGTGTCGTATCTTTTGTTGACTACTGAACTAGGTGAAACACAAGTGTCATTCCTGATAGGAAAATCCAGGGTAGCACCTCTTAAACAAATGACAATTCCCAGAATGGAATTAACAGCAGCAGTGGTTGCAGTCAAAGTGGATCGAATGCTGAGAGAAGAACTTCAACTACCACTAAAGAAATCAGTCTTCTGTACTGACAGTACCACGGTACTGAGCTACATTGAAAATGACAACATTCGCTTCAAAACGTTTGAGGCAAACCAAATCTCTTTAATCAGGGAACTGACAGCTTTTTTTTTAACCGTTTTTCTGAAAGAACGGTTAAAAAAAACAAACAAAAAAAAACTGGCATCTGTAGCTACCAGTATTTTTTTATCGTTCTTTCAGAAAAACGGTAGATTACAATTCTTTCGAAAGAACGGTAATCTACTGGCAGCTATAGACGCCAGTATTTTACCGTTCTTTCGACAAAACGGTAAACTACTGGCAGCTATAGACGGCAGAAGTTTACCGTTCTTTCACAGTATCTATACCGCACTTGCATTGACGGTAATCTACTGTCAGGATTAATTACGGTACAGCTACAGTGCATTTACAGTAAACTTCTGGTGTTTATAGCTGCCAGTATTTGACTGTAAATTTACAGGATTATTTCTTAGTGCTGGTAGCACTGACATCATATCTGATGAAGACTCTGGAGAGGCTCTTCCTCAACCACCTCAGAATGCAGGTACAGGATGCTGAAGACCCCCTGTAGTTTGCCTACAGGGCAAAGGTTGGAGTGGAGGATGCCATCATCCACATCCTACATCGAACCCACTCGCACATGGACAAAGGAAGTGGAAACGTCAGGTTCCTCTTCCTGGATTTTTGAAGTGCGTTCAACACAATCCAGCCCCCTGCACTTCTGGCAGAACTCACCAGAATGAAAGAGTACTCCTGCCTGGTCACCTGGATTTGCAACTACCTTACCAACAGATCACAGTTCATCAGGATGAATAACATCACTGGTCAGCAACATTGGAGCCCCGCAGGGGATGGTGCTGTCACCCATCCTCTTCACCCTGTACACTTCAGACTTCTGCTATAACTCTGAAACATGTCATATTCAGAAGAATGCTGATGGCACTGCCATCATGGGGTGCATTAAGGACAGCGAAGAGGAGTAGAGGAGCCTGGTGAGGGACTTTGTTGTCTGGTGCCATAGAAACAGCCTGCAGCTAAATACTTCCAAGACAAAGGAACTGGTCATTGACTTCAGGAGGCAAAGAGGCAGTCCACGACCAGTTCTAATAGGAGGGGAGGAGGTGGAGGTCGTGCAGACCTAGAAATATCTTGGCCTGTGTCTGGACAACAAGCTGGACTGGACAAGCAACACCAAGCAGCTTTATAAGAAGGCTCAGACTAGGATGTACTACCTGAGGAGGCTGAGATCCTTTAACATCTGTGGAAAGCTGCTGAGGTTGTTTTACCAGTCTGTTGTCGCCAGCGTCCTCTTACATGCTGTGGTGTGCTGGGGTGGAAGCATCTCTAAGACAGACCTTTCTCAGCTGGAGAAGCAAATCAGGAGGGCCAGCTCAGTGGTTGGCACAAGGCTTGACTCTCTGGCAGCAGTGGCAGAGAGGAGAACCCTACAGAAACTTGAGGATATCCTGGACAACACCAGGCACCCTCTGTACATTGTCATCAGCAGCCAGGAAAGCAGGTTCAGTGGGAGACTGCTTCTTCCTAAGTGCAGGACCAGCAGACTAAGGAACTCCTTTGTGCCTTGTGCAATAAAACTCTTCAACTTCTCACTGGCTAACAGGAGTACAATAGAAATAGAGGAACTATAGAATCAGGCTAAGTGTTAAAGTAAAAAAAAAAAATAAGGATTTGATGTATTGGTGCTGTGTGGGAGACTGAACTACAATTTCCCTGAGGGTAAATCCCAAAGGGATGAATACAGTTTCTATCCGTCCGTACGTACGTACGTACGTACGTACGTACTTGAACTACAAAAATTACTTGGTTAATAGATGCTCTGATCAGGTTTTCTGCTGCCGATTCCGATCACCAATGAGGCTGATCTCTGCCGATCACCGATCTTTGCCGATCGCCTGGATTGACTGTTAATTTTTTGCTCTAGGTATAAATGCTACTACGTAATCTGACAAAATTAAAAAATGATCTGGCAATAAATTAACCTAATATAGACAAA